TTCAATTTGCAACCAGCTAGGGTGCAATTAATTGCAGCTTTGAAAATATTATCATCTTGCTTTTGTACCTTTCCTTCACCTCACTATTTATTATTTCGTTATCATATATACTAACTTTTGTTTCTTCTTTCTTCAACATCAATATTAAAAGGGGGCCGGGGATTGAATCCGGCCCGCTAAGTTTGTAAATCTTTTATCATGTGATTGCATCCACTAGACCCAATTGTTCCTCAACAGTTGTATTAGGATGTACGACGACTTATATATGGAGTGCGATGGATCATTGATATTGATGTCGATCACTATTGAAAATTATGCACTTGCATCATTTCACTGTTGAACTTGTGCACTCATCCTTTTAACTTATTACCCCTCCATTTTTTAATAAGACACGATTAATTGAATCACATTGATTAAAAACAGTTGGTTAAAATTAATTGGAAACAATAAATAAATATGTCAAAAATGTATTTTTTTTCTAAAAAAAATCATTTTACTCTTTGAATAATTTGTCTTGATAAAAAATTCAATGATATTAGCATGATTAATTAGTTGAGAGCAAAATGAAAATGCAACAAAAAAAAATAAAAATGGAGAAAACTTTTGGGTATCTCTTATAATAAGAAACACAAGGATTATTATTGCTGTTGTTGTAATCTTGAAGAGATAAAGGTATAAGTGGAGAAAGGGTAAGAATGATCTTTAATTTTTTAATATATTGGGAAAACAACTATATGGTATATTCAAAAACCTCCAGCTGTAAAGTCAGGCTTAAGGATAAGTTTTAGACTTACCTTTTCTATTATTGAGGTTTTTAAGATCACTCCAATCCATATACACGCATGCATTTGTATTCAATTATAAATCAATATGTGTGTATTTTTCAAACACTATCAACATTAATAAATTACCTTATTTACAAGTCACAAAAGCTATAGATAAACATTTAAATCCCCTGTAATAATAATGAAAATGGTGGCTTGTTTCAAATTACATGCAAAGCATTCATATATTGTTAAAATGAAAACCATCTTATTGTTATTTTTTAATTAGAATTTTTAGCTTTTAAATTGATATTTACTTGTCCACGTTTAACCAGATAATTTAAACTGTGAAAAATCGGATATTGCCAAGCACTCAGATAATTTTTTTTTTTTTAAAAAAAATCAATCGAGAACATTCAATCACAGATTGAGTAAGAATGTACTTAAAACTTATTATGTTTATTGAGTTCTACCAATTTATCCCATGCAAGATTTTGGGGGGTAAGATTTTTTTTTTAAAAAAGTTCTGTTTATTTTTAATATGGCTTACTATGAATATTAATTTAACTGCAAATTATTATACTATTTTTACAATTTTCAAACCTAAAAACGGTCAAATAATTCAGCCCGGTATTATTTCTTACCACAAATTAATGATAAATCCAATTTTTAAACATTTTTTTTTGTAAGAATCCACTTTTTTAACATTGACGTGAATTAAGTCATTAATTTATTGATTATTTTTTGATACAAATTTTTTGATTATTTTTAATAATAATTTCTTGCAAAAGAACGGCTAAATTTTGAATCGATCATTGCTAATATTTAATTTATACCGCCAAGGACTTCACCGTGATTGTCTCATTGAAAGCACGTGCGGTTGGCTTTAAATAATTCAATGTTTGACTCATTAAAACACAATAAATAATTCATCCTTCAACTCTCTCTCTCTCTTTTTTCAATACATTACTCGTTTATATATCTCCGTAGAAAATCTTATTTAGATGGTGTTGTACTTTTGTCAACAAATTATAAATATACATATTCGAAAAAGTCGGTTTCTGCTATATAAATTTTATCTTTTTATTCGAGGATACGACATGTTATAATTGATCTCGGGAAGCATACAAAAAAATTATATATATTTGTTATTGTATCCAAAAATATATATTTGGTCCTCCCGTTGTATGCTAATGAATTGACTGTATTATTGATTAATATTCCAATTTTGTATTAACTATAGCTTTTCTTTTCCAAGAAAAACAATTATATAGGAGGGGCCTAAATCTCTGTTTGGGCCTAATAGAGACATAAACTGAACCTAATGACATCAAATTCAAAGAGGGACCAAATTATAACAAGATTGGGACCAGCCCAATTCTGAAGGACCACAATTTTAATAGTAGCCTAGGCCTTTCACAGTGAACTTTCTATGATGACCCACAAAGTAAGATGTCCGACTCAATATTTTACCCCATCCCATCACACCCTATTTAACTTTTTAAATGTACCCACACAAAAAATTTTAAATGCTTCATCCTATTATTAATATAAATACTACTAAATCAATTTTAGGTAAATTAAAATTTTTTTAATAAATTAGTTAGTTATAATAAATATGACCTTATCTTTCTTAAATACTTATATATAAAATTAGATTGTATATCAGTTGATAAATTAAATAAATTAATTTTGAAAAAACGGGTATATATAGGAAACAAAATGAATTAATGTTTTAACTTGATCATGTATTAATTCTTAATCATTGCTAATTAGTGATTAGTTAGTTTATATATTCAATTAATCTTCTCATATCTGGGAATTTCGTTCAAATATTATGCATTTGCGATTTTGTGAGGTTTGTGGACACCGTTGTTGGAAAGCAATTAAAAGAGGAGTAAAAGGTGGGATTTTTATTAATTTGAATAATTTAATTTATTTCATATTGTGTATTTGGTTGGAGTGGGGAAGAAATAGGGATATTGTGTTGGTGGATATATTGATTACGAGCCAACATATCTCTGATGCCTTCTTTATGTTTCTTGCTGCTCCTTTGCACGCCCTTTGTTAAAGCCACGTACCGTCCTTTCAATGAAAGTACAGAAAATGACATTTGGAGTTGGAGATCTGTAAATTAAGGGAACAATACCTGAGGACATTATTAAGTGAAATTATCAATTCTTGTCAGTAGAGTTGTCGATTTAAAACAACGTAGTTGTTAATTTGATATATTAAAGCCTCGTTTGCTAAAACGGTGAAAATCTTTTTTAAGTACGTTTCATATAAATCGACACAAAACTTCTCTTACATATTTATTTCGTATTCCGTAAACTTTATTGAAAATCAGTTTATAAATTACTTATAAGCTGTTCTAAACGAGCCTTAAGATTGTCAATCCGTGTTGAATAGTTCTTCATGGAGTTTTTTAGCACTGACAATTGTTGTATTAGAATTATTTATCAATTAACTATGAAGAAGTAATTAATTTTTTATTAAAAAAAGTTATCAACAGATAATTTCATCTGTGTTCACAAGTAAATACTCTCCGGTTATTAACGTAGGATATAATTGAAGAGTTAATATTGGTACTGCGTGTAATATTTATTTTACATGTTTATCAATTTTTTTCTAAAATTAACCCTATTAATATTCTCCAACAATAATCAAGTAAGAGAAGAACGGAAGAGAATTAAGGAACATGTTTAGAATATTTTTAAAAAAACATATCATATTAACTAATTTAACTAACATCTTTAATCTACTCATATTAGTTAATTAGGTTTTATATTAAGAATAGAGGATAAGTAAATTTTTTAGTGATAGTTGTCATTTCCTACCCTCAAGTTGCAATTATTATGATGCAGTTGTTAACTAAACAACTCCACTAACAATTATTCGGAAGTAATTGATAAAATATAGAATTTTTTTTTTGTAAACATCAATTAATCGAGGGAGTTGAGTTGCACTTGTTGCTGTGATAATGGAACACTGATATGCTTAATGTGGGGAATGTCATGTCTTGAATATTGCTATTCGACTTCTTTCCAGAGGCCATGTGAATATTGGTCTTACACATAAATAAATAAAAGGCATATTGTTGGTAGAGTAATAACCCCTGACAAATCCTTGATCAGGCACATTGAGGAAGAGGGGAAAGTAACAATACGAGAATGATGAGGTTTTTCACAAGTATCTACCAACTAAGGTGAAACACGAGCACAGAATTGATCCACTGTGCTTGGGACTACTACTTCAAATTCCATCACAAGGCAACCAAACCAGAATGGCCATTATATAAATAAAATATACGAAAGAAGAAGAAGCGAAGGCTAATAAGGGAAGGTTGAATGAAGTGAGAGGGGGAGTGAGGTTCACTCCAGGAAAAAGGGGGGGGGGGGCGCGGGGAGATATGATAGTGTTGGGAAGCTTTGCTTGATGGCCAAAACAAGGTGAGGTTTCCAAATATGGAGATTTGGGCTGAGATGTCCGAATTTGGTAAATGGCGGAGGCAAGCAAGAGTGAAGAAGCTGAATCCTAATTCAGCTTGTGAAGGGTGTTTGGAGCCATGTCTTGCTGTGATTGGATGCATCCATCTTAATTGATTGCTTCCATGCGCCTTTATAGGATGCCCTCCTCTTTTTGTCACTTTGTAGTCCCCACAACAAGCAATGTATCATGAACTCCCCTTCTCTTCCAACTAACCCTCACCCTCACCTTTTCTACATTCCTCATTTCCTCTTATCCTTCTATTACTTTGCATTCCTTTAACAGTGTGATTGAATTGGCTAGTTCAGTTTAGGAATAAAATATTCGATTTCCTATATCATTTTTTTTTAATTTATATCTCTTCTTATATCTGTGTGTGTGTGTGTGTGATATCATAAATACAAATTGCCACCAATGAATCACCTTCTGAACTTGCGCAGGAATTGACTGAAAAATATTTTATAACGTTAAGTAGTGGATTTCATTGTTAATTTTTCAGATAGAGTATGTTCAATAGAGATTTCGAGCCGCCGATTATTTGGGATTTAAATCTTTCTTCTTCTTTTTTTGGGGGAAAAAAAAGACAGAGGGTTCAATTGCCAAGGTTGTATCAAAGAAAAACATTGACTTGCAACGGTTAGCTCTTGTAACATTGCCAATAATGAAGCCACAAATTAGTATTCATAATATATTCCCTAAAATAGTAGAGCCTTTCAAAAGGAAATTAAACTCAGGGACGACGCACCAATATCACAGAAAAGGAACAGATTTATGATTATGAATACCATAGCAATCGTTTATGATTGCTCAGGAAGGAATAATATAGTCTTGGACAAAATCCAAGGACACCTGACCATAGTACCAAAAATTACAGATTAAAAAAGGAAAAAAGAAAAATTCTTAGCAACACCATTTATTTCCGACGAACTAATGGGCAGATTAGTAGGGTTGCTAAACAATTCTAAATACAGAAAAGAATGTAGAAGAACCATATAACACTCCGAGTGGAAGGAACGCAAACCCAAATCACATCCACACAATTACAAAACACGTGGTATGCTTGACTGATATATTTAGTCGAAGAATTCCCAGTTAAACCTGGGATGAACCGAATTATTGTTCGCAGAGGAGGCGGATGATGTTGCCGGGATCAATGGTGGAGCGGGCTCGAATGTCTCCCACTTGGTGGTCACTACAACTCCAGAGGTTGAAGAAGAATCCACCGATGATGCTTCTTGTTGCTGAATCAATGGAGAATGCCCATTTGAGTTCCTTGGTTGAAGATATTGTGGCTCTTCAGTTGGGGTTAATAGATCGATACGCCCATTTGATTGCATCTCTAAAGGCTGTTCTTGAATTGGGGCTAGTCGGCTTTGGCCGTTTGAATGTCTCTTTTGTTGAGGCTGCTGCATTGGCGCATCGCCTCCATTGTTACCAGGCATAGAGTTCTTGATCTTCAGCATGTCCAGAGTTTCAACATACTTCTGAACTCTTTTCACCTTCAGAATGATTCAACACCAAGATGCCATCAGAACTCAGAACGCATACATGACATTAATTACATGAATTCAAGATGATTTGTTTTGGTTTGGTCATCAACCTTTAAAAATACAAAATTCAAATCTTTGCTTTAGTCAAAAACAGCGCAAAACAAGGTCAATGGATGTGATTCAAGGAACAATCAGAAGCGAGTCAAAATTTTTCCCTGCGGAAGTGACTTTAGAATTTAGAGAGCAGAAGTTACATTTCCCTTATTCAGAGCACACCAGAATTTACCTGCATTTTTCTCTGCAATTTGACATCTCCATCAGCAATGATGCCGTCCAACTTGAGCAATTGGTTCATTAAAAGTTCAATAAGACCAAGCACATCTGATTCTGCGACTTTGCCACCTTTACTAATTATGGAATCAAAAGCAGACACCTATCCAAATTTCAATCACAAATTCATCAGTTTCAAACTACTCAAGCATTTCATTACAAATTTTCAATCCCACAACAAAAGATCATCAAGCACGCGTTAGATAAGAAGCATTTACCCGTCCTGCGAGCCTATCTACTTCCAAGCTGATTTGAGAGATAGATTTTGCAGCTTTCTCCATCTTTGCGTTCTTCCTCATTTCTAGGAACCTCTTCTCCTGACTAATGGGGTCCTCCACAAGAACTAGCTTTGATTTATCTTTGACTCCTGTGATGTCAAGAAACGCCTTTGAATCTCTCTCCTTGTCTTTAAAAAATAGCTTCTGGTCTTCGTGGTGTAACCCTGTTGGCCCTGACAGCATCTTCTTCAGTTCCCCTGCAAACCCACAAACAAAAAAAAGTATATGTGTGTGAGAGAGAAGAGAAGAGTGAAACAGAAAGGAAATTTTTGAACCAGAGAGGTAGAGTTGTTACCAAATGTAGCTTGAGAACTAATATTGACTTCGTGGTAGATTGACCCATATTTAACCCTAACTCTAATTGTCGGCACCAGAGCCGAGTTGCGATCCGAGTCGATGGTTCGCTTCTGGACCAGCATTCCTCCCGGTCTCATCTCCCACTCGTGAGTCCTTGACTCGGCGCCCGCGCCCGCGCCCGCGCCGGCCGAGCTTCCGTTCATGGGTGAAAGCCCATTGGTCTTGTTGTTGTTGTTGTTCCTCATCCTCAACATCTTCAATGCCCCTCCCTACTTTTCTGCCTCGGCACAGTAATATATAAAGTGTGTAAATCCGAAACCAGAGAGAGCTACAGATCTCTGAGGAATTTGATTCTCTACGATCTGTGGCGCCAGAAATTGAAGAGACCCAATTGACCAGAAAGGCTGTTAGACCCTGTTTGGGAAATCTCTGACCTCAGCATTACACGAGTCCAATCCCCGAGACACGCGTAGAGAGAGAGAGGAAGAGGAAGCGGAAAATTACAAATAAGATTTGAAGTATTCAGAGACTAAGAGAGATGTAGATTGAAGAACTTCAATGTGGAAGAAAACCTCGAAGCCATTAACCTGAAAACCTTACTCTGTAAGGCAACGCGAAAAGATCCTAGCCGGCGACTGGAGCCGGAGAGATTTCCAGACAAGAGAGAGGACAAAAGAACAAAGGAGGGAGAGAAGCTGAACCTGAGAGAGGTCAAAGCATAGATCTTAACTTCCAGCAGGAGGAAGGTGAATGTACAAACTTGAGAAGAAGATGAAGAAAAAGGAACCGGAAGGCCGATTATTGTAAGGAGGCAGAGAGCGAATCAAAACAAAGTCAAAATGTAAAGAGAAGAACAATTTCTTTCAATTATCAGAGCAATTATTCTCTGTGGCCTGTTCTGGTGAGGTTGGAGAAGAAGAGAGAGGAGAAGAAAATTAAAGAATTAAGGGTTAAGAAATGAATATATAAAAACGAGTGGCCAGCTAACTTGGGCGCCAACTGGTGAGTTGTGACCGTCATATATATACAGATATATACACACACACACAGAGGCATATATCGAGACACACATATTATTGAATTATTGATTACTACATTATCGTTTTTAAAATAATTACAAACCTAATAATATTTTGATTATTGTGCTCGATGTACATGATTATAAATTGTGTGAGCCGAACTTAAAATTTTATATGATTTACAACTGAAAAAACAAGTAAAGAAAAAAAAAGCTTCAATTAATGTGATATAACAGGCTCCTGTTTCTTCCTATAAATAATTGTTAAAGCGTATTATACTGATGCATTTAATGTTGTTTTTTCCTGCCTGAATGAATGCATTTACATGCTCATATTATTTTCTTTTTTTTAATAAAAATTTATACAAAATTGTTATTTTTTTTCCATACAAAAATACTCTATGTTATATTATGTATCATTGATTCAATCAAAATTGAACTCTATACTTGACAACAGCATCTTAATTTTTTTAATTCATCCTCTTGGAATGTTAATATTTATAGTTCGGATATTTTTTGTTTTGCCGGATACCTATAGTTATGATGCTTGAATAATTAAAAGCATAAAAAGTCAATAATACCAAAAAAAAATATTTAGGAAAAAAAGGGCACATATTTGTGTGCTAATTAAAGTTGGTAAGAGGAGACAAAGGAAGCCGCCAAATCATTGTTAGAGGGTGAGGCTGGTTTCACCTAAACAACCCCAGATGCTTTGGTGCTTTGCAATTTCCGTTAAAGACACGAAGCGGCACATTTAAGGGCCGGCACGTGCCGATCTAGGGGTATTATGGGAATTGTGCCGTAGACTAATCATTGTTGAGGCTGATATCGGCCACGTGGCGGGTGCCCTGGCAATTACTTTTGAGAAGGGCAGGAGAGAGGAGACTGACTATTGAACAGTGAAATTTGAGATGCCCAAAAGCCTTTTCTTTTGCATCCCTGCACTGGTCACACGTGCGCTCTCCTCCCTGCCAAAACTCCACACGAGCTAGGCTGAACTAATTTAAAAAAAAACATTATATTTAGATGAATTTCGTTAATATTCTTTTAATCCTATTTACAAATGACTTTCAACATGTTTTAAACAAATCAAAAAATTTTTTGAAATTTATTAACTCTCATTTAAAATTCAACAGCTTTCTAATTTTATCCCTATTTAGTATATATTATACCTCATATAAATAAAATTAACACAATAATAAATAAAAAATAAAATTATATATCTATAGGAGTATTATTTTTATTATAAAATTTTATTTTATTTTGTGTTACTTATGAGCTAAGTTTTTAATCTTTGAATCTAATTATTCTCTGAACATTACTATGTTGGGGGGGGGGTTGTTTTAATTTGACCTTTTTACCGACGGCAAAGAGTGCAACCTTGTTGGGAAAACACCGCTTCTTTTTAATATTTTATAGGTTCATATACACGTGCAAGTCTCCTTTTGAGTTTTGACGCTCTAATCAGGCTTTTTTTTTTTTTTAATTTCACCAGAATAAATAATAATGAGTGGAAGTTTCACCTATGACCTGTCGTCAATTTTTATTGAAAGTCATATCATATCTGGGTTTTGAAAAAAAAAAAACCGCTCACAACTATTTCAGTAACAGGAAATATTGATTTAATGGCATAAAAATAATATTTGCTCCAATCCTAAGTATAAAAACTAACTATCCTAAATATAAAAACTAACTACACTATTTATTTAGATTTATAAGATATCAATTTATTTTGTTTCTAGATTTATAAATTATTTATTAGATTATTCCTGTTGATTGTGTAAGTGAAAGAAGTTTTAGTTTTTATTAAAAGAGATGTTTTACATAAATTAATACAAATTTAATTTAATGTCAATAATTAATTTAAATAATTTTATTAACGTGTGTAAATTAATTATCTAAAAGCAGGTGCCTTTTGTATAGGACAAAAAATGGCAGTACTTTGGGCCACTGACCACTGTAACACTGGCAACATCATGTCGTAAGATCTTGGTGAGGTGTGAGGGGATATCTAAGATTCAAAAAATAAAAAATATTAATATTTTAAAAAATTATCCTGAGATGTTGATCAACCCAGTTGCACTTTAGTAATTAAGCACGTAATATAGTTATATTACATTTCAATTTAATTTTATGATTAAATTAATTAATAGATTTTTCAGCTAACAAAAGTCACAAGTTTAAAATATAAAATTTATTTTGTAAAGGCAGGGTTGGATCACTAGGATGAAATCGTTTATTGTTTTTTTTTAGAACTACTCATCGCGATCTGTTGACTAAATACTCGGTTAAAAAAGTGCAAGCCAGTAGAAAATCACAAGTTGAAAATATATAATTTAACTTTGTGAAAGAAAGGCCTTCTCACTAAGAAGAAATTGCTAAATTTATTTATACTCCACGTGATATTTTCATTACTATATTCTAGTCTTAATAATCATTTGTTAACTTGTTCACTAAACCTTCAATTAATAGTCCAGGAAAAACCCAATAATTAAGAATAAATGTGATGTGAGCTGGGAATCAAAAAATATTGAATTAAGGTCAAATAGAGTTATCATATTTTGGTCTTTTTCAATTCAGTTAGAATGTCATCACAGATGACATCACATGCTAGCTATTGGTTCTATTTATAACATTTTTCTTAGAGCTAATTACGTATAAGTGTAAACCACCAACAATAAATCCTTGAATTTTTGTTCACTTTAATATCTCTAGGAAAACATAATAATAATTTTTTTTAACAAAATAAGAAACGGGGACAGTGAAACTTTTCCAAATGAATATCTCTAGGAAAACATAATAATAAGAAATGTCATTTAATTAAACTGCATATCTATTTCACTTGAATTTTTAATGAAAATATGTTTAATTTAGAATTTAGGGTAAATCTCATTTTTAGGGTGTGTTTGGGTGACACCCCAAACCATGGTTTGGAGAATAATCTACCCAAACAGCCCCTCCAAAAACCAAAACCATGGTTTTGACTCCAAAACCATGGTTTTGGAAAAAGCAAAATTTTTTGCTTTTGGAGAAAAAAGGGAGAGTGTGAGGGCCTATATGATATATATCTTGTTATTTTTTTATAAACATATTTTTTTATAAATATATTTAATCTTATATTTTATAAATATATATACACATTAATTATTTATTAATTATATTATCTTATGTATTATTAATTATGTTGGTAAAAAATATATTATTAACAATTTTATTCCTTCAAATTAAAATATATCATAAAATCTATTTTTTCTGTAATTATCATATTAACTTATGTCTTTTTTTAGTAATTTGTATATATAAAAAGTGCTTCTGATAACAACTATCTAAACACTCTCACTTCTCAGAATCACTTTTTTACAAAATCTATTCTTCACAGAATCTATTTTCCCTAGAATCTATTTTCCAGAATCACTTTTCCAAATCACGGTTTGGTTTCATCTAAACACACCCTTAGTCTCTGAAATTCATCTTATTTTGATTTTGTTTTCTAAAACTTGAAAATATTTTAGAAACCCAAAATAATATTCTGCGTATCAAAAATCTTTAGGTAGATAAAAATGATATTAATCCTATAATTGATGAATAATTAATCATCAAAATAATTTATGAATGGAGCATAGTAAAAATTTGCAATTTTGCATAGATGCATAATGGATAAAGAAGCGGGCTCATGACTTTTCAACCAATTTATACAGCGTTCCGCTTCACCGACACTTTCGCACGCTGACCGCACGTGACACTCCCCCGGGTCATCCCACCCCCCTCCACGTGGGTAACGGGGAAGGGTCGGATCCCGTGCATACGTGGTACGATGAAGACGGTGCAACCTACGGCGGTAGTTGTACTTGTAATTGTTCCTTTAACAGTAGTTCTGTGATTAAGCCGTTGAGTACTAGCTCCGGGGATTTCAATGGATGGCTTAATTCGCCGGAAAACAAATTATTAACATTGGCCACTCATCTTCAACTGGAGACAAACAACCGACCAACTGGGCTCTCGTCAAATTATGATGCACGTGACGAGGTACACATTGTGATTCATATTAATATTCATATCATATTTTTAATTAATATAATTTGTCGAAAAGTTTCTAAAGCGATTTAGTGTTTGTTTGGGATCATTATTGAAAATTTTAAAATCACTTATTCACATAATTTAAGACCAAATTTATTTTACATACTTTGTATTTTATGAATTACTTTTGAAAGACTTCACTGTCATTTCAAATAAGCTCTTAATATTATGATAATAAACTGAATTTATAAAAAACAAAAATTACCTTTCAATACTTACCTAAGAATGACTATCTGTCCTTTTTTATTTTTTATTTTTGTCATCTCTTATATAAAACGAAGGATTGAACACACAATTCTCTATTTAAGTAAGATTTGAGGAGATATTTATCACTTGAGCAAGTTAAATAGCTTTAAAGGTCTTCTTTTGAATCTTAAAATTCAAGAATAAAGCACATTAACTGAATACATTTACAGAGGTTAAGATCGTGCATATGTAAACCTGAAGCTCACATGAATTTTTTTAATTAATTTTTACAAAAGAAAGCGGAAGATTAAATTAAAAAGATGGGAATGAGGAATCTGAATCCAAAGCGTGGTCAAAGGAAAAATCAGAGACATATGACAGAGGAATAAAGAGCAAACTGCAATGGTCAGTGCAACTGTGCAAGCATGTTGGATGGTTCCCGTTGGCCGGCCGGTGTCCTTTTATTTTTATTTTTCATGTTTTGTGTTTATCAAGTAATTTAACCCATTTTTAATTATTACATGTTCTTGCAAGTTCGGGAAGAGGGTCGCAGACAGATCCATTTTCCTCTATTCAATACAAACTCTTTTTTATTACTGAGAAAGAAAATAAAAGATTGGATAATTTTTTTTAGCAAAAATAAAAAACGCAACAAATT